GAATGTTTCATGCGTTTTTCATATCCAACATTTACTAAATAGCTGAATATAATTTTAATTCATGTTGACCCAAATTACTACAAAATAATGAAAAAGGCCGGTAAAATATGTTTAATAAAATTCTGTGTCAAAGAGACGAACGTGGACAGATGGACATGACTCAATGTTTAAATAAATTACTTATTCTTGCTTTTTGTATTGTTTAAAAGATAATAACCTAGTTCACTCATTAACGTGTTGTTCTGCCATCCTGAGAACTCAACTCGATTCTCTACAGAGTTATTATATATTTATATTACTCGTCGTTGTCAACTATCGAGCAAAAACTAAAAAGTAGGCGTTACTTTTTAACCAGAGGACGAATAAAATTGTCAAAGTTTGTGCTACAAATTAACTGAACATTCATATCTCCAGTTGCTCTGTGTCCCCAAGTCTTTATTTACCGTTTTTGACTAGACTTTTATAAGACAACGTTTACAAATTAGCTTTTGAATATTAAATTTATTTTGGTAGATTAATTTCAACTATCTTAAGTTCAACCAAATCATGCATAATTTTTACTAAGACATTGAAAAAAATTATGTTAGGTTTAAGTGAATTATCCGAGATAATCAGAATACGTTAGTAAATTCCAGAATCTTTAACATCAATGAAAGCTTTCTATGTCTCAGTGATTATCACTGATCTATTCCAAGTAATATTACAAATGATGTCTTATAAAAAAATATAAGCGAAAGATACCACGCATGAAAAGCTGAAAATAATGTGACAGATAAAAGTGAAAGATACCACGCATGAAAAGCTCAAAGTAAAAAGTAGGCGTTACTTTTTACTCTTTTATTCTAAGTAGAAAGAGTATATATTAGTCTAAAGCAGTGTTTCCCAAAGTGGTCCATATGGACCCCCAGGGGTCCGTGGTACTATTCAGGGGGTTCGTGAAAAATAAAAACTGATTTAGGGGTCCCTGAACAACGTCAGGAGGTCCGCGTGAAGTTTAATATAAAATAATAAAATTGTTATTGGTTTTTATTATGATGGAAATTAAGATAAATAAAATAGTAGCGATTTTTACGTCCTAAGTAAACTATAAATAAAGGTGAGTGCTTATAATTATTAACAGTGGTTTGTTACAAATTAAACAGTTAATTTAAAAATTTTCGTACATCTTTTGTTCTCTTTTTAAGAGATAACAGTATGAATGAGTCGAAGAAAAAACGCCGAAAATGCAGTGTTGAATATTTGAAGTATGTCTTGATTTCTTTACCAGGAAATAGTACTTTACCTATGTGACTTTTAATAAAACTATAACAAGTGATTCAATGAAACATTCCAAGCTTAACGAACAATTGATACAAATCTATTGTAACAAAAAAGATAAAGATTTAGCTATTTTTCAAACAGTCAAAGAAAAATATCTGAAAACACCGTCACTGCAACAACTTATAGGGACAACATCTAAGCGAGATGACGATGGATTGCATGTTTCTCATAGTTTCGCGTGTTTCTATATATTACATGATTACAAAATCGGGAAAGCCTCACACTATTGAAGAAATTATTTTATTAGCTGTAAGTTAGATAATACTCACCGGGTTGCGCAAACCAGCTTTTAACAATGTAAAAAGAATTCCACGGAGTTATAATAATGTACAAAGAAGGATTGACAAACTATCTCAGTGAGTAGAAAATTCTTTATGTCAGTATTTAAAAATATCTGAACTTTCTATCCAGCTTGACGAGTCCACTTATCCAGGAAACGAAGCTTTTACTTTCAGCTGATGTAACATTTGTAAAAGAATAAAAAATTTACCAATAATTGTTATTTCCTAAATGTTTGGAAAGCGATACGAAAGGTGAAACGCTATTGACTGAATTAAAAGCTATACCCTTGACTAATATTTCTGTAGCTACTGACGATGCTCCGGCAATGGTAGGAAGATACCAAGGTTTTCTGGCTAACTTAAAACAAGCTGCAGCGAATGTATTTTCAGTACATTTGCCAAACTTAACAAAACTAATTTGAAACTATAAGATGAACAATAAATTTGATCAAAACTAAAATAGTAAAACTGAGTTTGTTTCAAAAATTTTTCTGTATAAACAAAACTTAGGAAGAGGATATTATTCTCTCAGTTTCAGTGCCGTAATGAACCTCATCACAATAAATAAATGATTAGGAGTTAGTACCCACAAACATTGAGCCTGACATAAATACACTCTTAAAATCTCATTACGTTCATCCAAGTCATTAATTTATTTTAAACAAAAGATATCATTTCAAAAAATAGTTCTTCAAAAAAATGTTTTTCTTTTTTCTTTCTCTTTTGTTCAAAAACTGTTCTTTCTTTAGGCAGATGGAAGAACAAGTCTATCTTCATTAATTAAGTAAACAAACTACATATTTAGAGGTACTGTATTTAAATAAACATGAAATTTAAGGGAAATAATTGAAATAAAATTATTAAACAAAATATTTTACTTACATTATATTATAATTATTACACAGTATAATATATACTACATTAAATTATAATTTGCAAGTTTCACATCACTTTTAGTCCTATTTAGTTTCTTTTTTAGTGTATTTTGAACATGAAATAATAATTAACATGTCTTTTTCATTATTTCTTATAAAAAAAAAATTCAAGATCGATAAAATCAGAATTACACTTACATCCTTAAGAGTTTTTTCTTTTTTTTATTAATGGCGGGCATTTGGGGCACGTTCCCCATTGGCCACAGAAATGCCCGAATCGCTACTCACTTCTCGTTACCCAGTGGGCACCTATGGCTAAGCCACGACGGTGGAGCAGCGTCGCCCAACATCATTAAGAGTAAATTCATAAATTAGTTTAAGAAGTATTTTTAGCATAATTTATTTTATGCTAACCCTGAACACGACATTAAACATTTTTAAATAAAAATTATCAATGTGAAAAAAAATTTTCATTAAATTGCCAATGGATCAAACTCTTAAAAAGCTTTATAAAGTACGTATCAGTTTTACAATAGTTCAAAACCATTAAAAAGTATTGGTAAGTTTTTAAAAGGTACAGAAAATAAAGCTGATGAAACATTTAATACGTTGAGTGTCACAGCAAAAATTAAATGAAACAAAATTTTGTAAAGCTACAGAATAAATATTCGATAAGTGTATTTTCACTTTTTAACCAAGAGTATCAAACTAGTAAGCATTTTTTTATTATTATTATTGATCAAAACTTTTGCATTAACCCTGGAAATAGATTTAGTGAAATTTTATCTATCTTCCAAGCTCCTCCTTAAACGTGGGTTCTATATATAATTCATGAAACCTAAATATCCCATTAAAATGTGACAATTTCTTTAAAAAATGCATTGTAAAATTCTGTTCGTATAACGCCATTTGATGCATATCAAATTATATAGATATATAGTTCCTAAAAGTATTTCCAAAATAATATCCTAATTTTGTTTTAAATGTAAAGAAAATTTAATTTTATTGAATGTATTTACTTTCATATTTTAACGTCCTAGAATTTCCTTTATTACCTTTAGAAACCTTACTAATTTCTTAATAAAATCTTAAATATTAACAAATTCAATGTTTTATTGACATTCAATTTTGTCAATTGGATAAGCCTTTATTGGGTAGATCTCCTAGAACCTTCTCCATACCATTAACCTGTTTCGTCCCGAAGTTATAAATTGAAATGATACAAAAAGTGGTTTTATAGAAAAGGTGGTATAATATATTATCGAAATTAATTGCTTTTTCTACTGTTAGGGCATTCAAAAAGTCTTCGATAGATCAAAAAGTACTGAAAAAAGTAAAATGCTGAAAAAGGTTTCCCACCACAATGAATGTGTTTGAAAAAAGGAACTGTGCTAAATATATGACGCTGGGCGTTAACCGGTTAAGAAACTTTTTGAAGTTTGGTATGGTGTTCTAAATTATGTTTTTCGCAATTTACTCTCCTTGTTAATTCCAAAGAAGCTTCATAGCCATATCTGTAGGATAGGCTGAGTGATTTTTATAATTCATATCTAATGACAGCAGAATGAATAGTAGAAATATTTCTACACAATACAGGGTGTCTATAAAAGAACTCCGGGGTTTTAAAACTTCATATCTCACTAGCTATAAAAGATAGCAAAATTTAGTCTATTTCTCTGTAAAGAGTAGCTAAGAAAGTTTTACTCACAGGCATTGGACGCTCAGCTCGGCAACAGGTGGATCGGAAGGGAGGGACCTATTCCATGGCCTCCAAGGAGCCCTGATCTGACTCCGTTGGATTTTTTCTTCTGGGGGCATATCAAGAATCTTGTGTATGCAGAGAAAATTCGTGATGTTCAACATCTCAGGGAACGAATAGTTAATTGTGTGGCAACCGTCCCCCCACACATGCTCGCCAGGACATGGGAAGAGGTAGAATACCGTTTAGACGTCTGCCGTGCCACTAATGGGGCTCATATAGAACTTTACTAAGTGTTAAAAAAAACTTGAAAATGTAAGCTTTTCAGTCATGTATAAAACTTGTATGCATGTTTTTTATTTCATTAAAATATTTTGCCTCAAAACCCCGGAGTTCTTTTATAGACACCCTGTATAATGAATTTTTATTGTCTTATTATTTGTGCTATTACCACCATTCTGTTGACCTCTCATCATAGAAATTAAAAAGTATAGGGAAGAAAATTTCAAAAATTGATTTAAAAATAGAAACAAAATTTATTGGTTACATTCTCACGAAAATGCAATTTTCGGTAAAAACCACTACAACAAAATCAATAGTTTCCAAATAAAACGCATACAATTAAACCTATGCAACAAGGACCGAAAGTTCTTACTATCTTTTAAATGCTCTGAGTTTTATCGACATTTAATTTTGTAAATTGAATGAGCCTTTATTGGCTAGATGCCAGGGGAGTTCTACGTTTGGCTCTCCAAGAACCTTCTGCATGCCATTAAGAAACTTTTTGACGTTTTGTATGGCGTTCTAAATTATGTTTTTCACAATTTACTCTCTTTGTTGATTATAAGAAGCTTCATAACCACATCTGTAGGCTAGAGTGAGATTGATCATATCACTTTCGGATAAATATGTTGTCAATGCTTGAATTGTATCACTGTTTAAATGCACTTTATATTTTTCTAAAGAACAATCGAATATCTGCTGCCAAGCGTAAATTTTCTCATTACATAATTCCTCTAATATGCAACTTTTTTTTAAAGAAGCAATGATAAGATCTTTACNTAAATGCACTTTATATTTTTCTAAAGAACAATCGAATATCTGCTGCCAAGCGTAAATTTTCTCATTACATAATTCCTCTAATATGCAACTCTTTTTCAAAGAAGCAATAAAAAGATCTTTACAATAAGGATATTGATAAAATTTTGATAAAACTTGTTTAGTAAGAGATGTCTTTAAATCATCTTCATTTACTTTTGAAGTACAGCATCGCTCATTTATGTACGAAAATAGAGTATAATTTTTACTTATCCTTTCTCCCCTCATTGCATTTAATTCTTTTAAGCAACCCTGTTTGTATGCAACCAACTCGTCATAAAATGGTAAGCGCTCACAAAATTTCAAACTCAACAAAGAAGAATAGGTACTAAAATCAGTCAAGTTTGGTTCTAGTTCAGCATTTGATATTCTCTTGATGAGAATATACTGTAACAAAAGCTTCGCTACAGGCATTTTCTTGTCTAAAAATCCTACCCAGCCATTAGCCTTAAACTCAAGTAGCATATTTTCAGTACCTAAAAATACATAGATGTTTATAATAGCTTCTTGGAGAATACTATTAAGTTCATTATCAATTTCATTCCCATCTGCTCCATTTGATAGTAATAGATAAATTGTGATCTCTTGAAAATATTCATTCATCGCCTCCAGCAAATCATATAAAGTACTACGATCTACATGATCTACTACTAATCCAACATCTTGAAGTGTCATCCCACGATATTGACCTTTTGAAGACTGCATTCTAACTATGGAAATCAATTGTGTAAATTAGTCAAGCTAAAACAAATTAACATAGTAAGATAAAAACAAAATGCATATGTGCACACAGTCTAAAAGTATCTGCAAGCTCATAGTATTTGTGATAATAGAATAATTTTATTAAATGAGGAGAATCCTGATCCGAGGCAGAATAATCGCCAAGACTTAGCAGCGGCTCTGCGAGAAACTAAAAAAAAACATCACAGAAAGGAACCAACTCGAAGGGTGTAAGTTGTAGCCGACCCCCCGGCAAACATCTACATGTTGTTGTTTTTCAGATTTGCAAAATTAAAATCTACTTGGCACCTTGGCAATTGTAACTGGCGCGTTATCAAGATACGGAAATATCCCAACATTAAGAACATTAGAGAAAGATTAATATTAATAGTAATACACCTTTTGAGTCGGCACCCTTTTGTGATGTTTTTTTTTCCTTCCGGGATGCTGCCCGGAAGTTGCCAATACTTGGCGATTATTCTGCCACAGATTATGCAAATATCCCCCTACATTCATATAAAGTAATTATCACATTAAGTAATAATAATTTCGCTCCAAACAAAATTACATTAAATGATTTTCTACTGTCACCGCAGTCGTCTATTTACCTTGTATTTTAAACTCGTTGATTGTAAAGCGATAGTCGCATCGGGGTCGCTAACCATGGGATCGCTAATCTCTGGGCTAAAGTGTCAGTTATATCTTTTCTCTTTGGGAGCAGCCTGCATACAACTAAACACAGATTTTCTTCTACCTTGCTACCAATGGTATTTTCTCTCCCCCACTGCATTTTTTTTCTCGCACGGATACTTTTTACCTGTTACAAAAATAACTTTGAAAAAGTGTCTCCAAAATTGGAGAATCACAATCAATGTATCCGCGCACTACGTGCGCCTATACTATCTAACTAGTATGATCACTAAATTGAGTTGTTACGCTCCTGCATGCATTAAAAGAAATATCTATTCTCATGATAAATTTTAATCTCAACACTACAGGGTTCCCACTCAATTAAAAAAAAAAAATTCAAGGACTATTCAATGACTATCAAGGACCTAAATCAAATTTTTCAAGGACCTATTCGCTACTATTGTTATATGCTAAAGTACATGTCAACCAGATTTTACAGTTACATAGAAACAGAAATTGTATAGTTTTAAATCACAATGCTTATTTGACAATAAAATTGCTAATAATACAAATGGTTCATCGTCACATTGCTGTTTAAAATCACTCAGAAAAATTCCAATTGACAGAAATTTTTTTTTAAAGAAACTCCAATTGACTTAGGATACCAGCCAACATTTAAAAACTAGCATCAGTGGAGCTTTTTATGAAAAATTTAATGAAGTGAATTAGAATTAATGAAACTGAATGAATGTATAATGTATATTATACATTCATTCAGTTTCTTTCAAACAAGTATAGTAAATAATTGATAACGTTTGTGTAATTGCACGGTTGTTATAATATAAATAAATTTTTTATTATGTTAGATCGAACTTTAGGTTACAGGAAATGTATATAATTTGATAAATTATCAATTTAAAATATCTGTTTCAATTTTAATAGCAAGTTTTCTATTTTGTTACTCCAGAATAGCAGTAATGTATTTTGAGCATAGTAAAATATATTGTAGAACAATATTTTACATATAACTAAGACTTACCGAGCTTTATTTTTTTTAAATATATAGATAAAATGTGAAGCGTGATTTTTAATATTTTGTGAATATGCGTAATTTTCACTAAGCGTAGTTTTTAAATCGCATTTATACGAATCTATATAAACTATATGAAAAATCAAAATTATAAGAAAGGTGAAGTAATTCTCGAAGATTGCATAGACCACGTAACCTAGGTGTCTTATAGGTCTCGTCAAAAAGTTTTTCCCTTACCTGAATGCTTGATGGAGTAGGTGGAGGATCTCTATTGAAAAAGGGCACCTGCTCACAGACATCATTACTCGCCAAATCTTTATGACGCCAAAGACAATAAAGGGTCTCAAATGGAACGACGTCTCTTTGGCGCATGAAAGGGAAAAAAATGCTCGCGATTTTTCCATTTTCATTTGCCATTCAATAAAAAATAAAGGAAAAAGAAAACTCTTTTTCTTACTCTGTTGAACTAGTTTCAAAAGATGCTTTTCTCACCCATCATAGGGGGAAGAAATGCTCCAGATTTTTCTTTTCTTATTTGAGAGAAAAAAAGATTCGATGCGAAAGATTCGAAAAAAACTCTACATTGTACATTTAAATAAAAATTTTACTGAATCAAGGATTGACTTAAAAAAATATCTCTATATTTAATAATTAAAAAAAAGATTTCAGATTTTTTGCAAAATAATTAATAAATGTGCTAATTTCATCGAAATAAACGTAGTGTGTTGATAAATTTTTTTTTTCGGAAATAATTGTTACGATTGTTTGCTTATTTTTTTTTAAATCTAATTTTTTTTTTAAATTGAAAATCTCGAGAATTTCTTTTTAACAAATATTAGTGCCGCACGCTAAAAGTTAAAATCGCTGATTCAAGAGAACTCTCTTGGTCGCGTTAGGTTTACGCTGATATCCTCGTTAATCTGTGCGTCTTTAAATTGTTCCTTAAAGTTATTGCTAGGAATTTTCCCTATTTAAAAAGAAAAAAAAGTCCCGATGTTCTTTTATACAATTGAAAAATTTTTGAATCACTTATCACAAAACTTAAATTATTTATTTGTTTTATTATTTTTAATGTGACAGTTTCGTCGTCTTTTATTAATTTAATTTATAATTTTTTTGTTTTTAATTTTTCAGCATAGTTTTTTTTTTTCATTTATTGCTAGTGCTACCGATTTCAGTGGGGTTCTAAAATTCCGGTTATTTATCGCTTCATATTATTTCTCCATGTGAAATTTGATTCGAGCATTTAAATAATCGTTTTTTGATGTGTTGAATTTATGCCGATGATATCAATAATCGCGTCGTGTTTTTGATCGCGTTTTCAGCGATAATTGTCATTAATTATCTCAGGGTTTTTAAATACCCTATTATATTTCTGAAAATATGGCAAATTTTAATCGCGCATTGTAATTTCTATCGTCACGATTCTATCGATTTTTTTTTGTTGCAATTATTGCTATAGATTGCCACTTAGTTTTTAAAATCTGATATTTTTTATTACAACTACCGAATCTTGAAAGAAAGCATTTAGTATCCCGTTTCTGAAGAATGATTTCGTAATCGATCTTTTTCTCGATAGTTAGTATACTATGAATTTCATAATTTTTTAATGTATTCATAATTTACAAAGTGGAAAAAAAGGAAATAATTCATGCGTTTTCACCACCTACACATTGCGAGAATTTCGCCCATAATATTAGAATGAGAAAAATTTTATATTTTTAATTTTAAAAAAAAAATATTTACTATTTTATTTTATCCTAATGATTTTTTTTCCGTAAACACAACGTTTCTATTACGTTAAATTAGTAATTTGTATAGCTACTATTAAAAGTATTTTGCAGAGGCCCAGAAAAAATTCTGCCACAGGGTTAATAATATTTGTAAAATTCAATAAACGATAGAACATTAATAAAATCTAAACTTCTTTAACATAAAGAAAAATTTCCTTGCCAAAATAAACTCTTTAAAAATTATTTATAAAAAAATTATTTGTAAAATGAATGTATATTTTAAATTTTATAAAATAATAGTTTTTAATCTAAGAATATTTTATCTATAAAAGGCAAATTTGGTAAAAATTTGCCTTGGTGAACTTTCTTATTTCAATATATTTCTATAAAACTCTTAGCGGAATTTCATAGAAGTATATTGTTTGTGCAAATAACTTATGCGCCATAATTGTATTGTTAAAGCCTATTTAAAAGTAAAATATCTGTCTTAGTTAAGGAATTTTTGATCTTTTCAGCAATTTTATTTTTAATTACTAATTTTAAGATTTATATTGGTTATGTAAAGAAATAGGGATTTTTTTATTTAAATCAATATTCATGAAAATTTATTAAATTACTTTAAAGTGAATTCTTTATTTGTTTTTCAACATTACTATTTTTTTTAAAAAAATCTTCCTATTTTCTGAAAATTTCGGCTGTTGTCCCTACATGTTATACTCCTTAATAGATAAAAAAAAAGAGATATCTATACTCAGGATAAATTAAAATCAATAAAAATACACTGCCCATATTAAAAATAAATTTTATAATTTAAAATAGAATTGAGAAATAAAATTCATTAAAACACCAAAGATGTTAAAGCGATTAAAATTCTGCTTGGATAAAAGGAACGTGGAAAATCACACTCAATAAATTTAATTAATACTTCTCACATTTCAATACCAAAAATTAATACTTCTCACATTTCAATACCAAAAATTTATGTCAATTTCAAACTCAAAATTAATATATTTCAAATTAACATTAGTACCAGTTTTATATTATTTTTAACAAAATAAAAATAGTAGAATAATAAAGTTATTTTATTAACACCACGTGTGCTACGAAACGTGTGTTCAATTTCAAACACAAATATAATATATTTCAAATTAACATTAATACCAGTTTTATATTAATTTTAGCAATATAAAAATAGTAGAATAAAAAAAAGACTATTTTAACACCACGTGTGCTACGAAAAAAAATTAAGGTTCAATATATTTTGCTACATTACTACACAATATTAACTACATTAAAAAAAATTTTAAAGAAAAGAAATAACAAAATAATTTTACAATCCAGATTATATCTGATATTAATTACAAAATGTTATTATGTTAAAATTCCACTTACTAAATTTATTGCCGACTATATTTTCAATTAAATTTTCCACTTTCTTAACAGAACTTCCTTAAATCTTATCGGATACGAAATGAATAAGAATTTCATAGCAGCTACGGGGCGGGGGAAGGAGTGGGACTATCACACTAATGCGCATGCGCGACAAATAGGTGCACGTCTGAAACTCGCAGCCTCCGAACGCTGATGGTGACGTCACTATTCACCGGAGTCAATGAGGAGATTTAGACTATTAGTGTTCCCATTTTATTTACGAAATAACATTTTGGCACTAAATTTAAAATATATTTTTCAGAAATCAATTATAATAATAATAAAAGTTTTCCAGCAATTTTTTGTTTTGTGGACCATTTGGCTCCCCTTTGTGAGTAGCGCGCTGGACATGATACCCTCCCTTTCTCCCCCCTCGCTACGCCACTGTATTCTGGGGTGATTGGTGTAGAGCAAGCACCTTGCCTGTTTAACTGAAAAGAAAAGTGAAAATAATTATGAGCAACTTGCTACAGTAAAGATGGCTGTGAATTTATAGTCAACATGAGGTAGCAGGTTCGGATTTCAAGGCTGGTATTGTATTTGAGGCTGTTGAAGTTGTAATCTATTGATGTTTTGAACTATTAATGTTAGACTTGGAGATTTTTATTTATGTTGATAGTTTCGGTATGAGGCGCCAGAGGTTAAGTGAGCAACTATTGGTCTAAGGTTTTTGTCTTTTTTAAAATTTAAATATTTCGTTGAAGTTTGCTGACTAAAATTAAGCCCTTCCAGATTAAAATTCTAAACGTCGTCGTCGTCTTAAATTGTCCAAGGCGTTCAGGCCCCAAAGGGGCCTTTTACCTTTCCATCATCATGTAGAAATCGGAGTTGGTTTATCTTCACCTAAAAGAAAGGGAAAGAAAAGAAAACAAATTCTTCTCAGACACTTANTTGCATTTTAAGTCTAAAGATGACTTCGAGTTTAATATGGAGTTGAGGGCCCAATAGGCGCCATTCGCTTTTTCAATAATTTTATTTATGTGTTGTTTCCAACTTAAATTAGAGGTGATGGTGACTCCTAGATATTTTGCACTCTTTGTGGGTTTAATGATCTGCTTGTATAGGACTATATCAGGAATAGTTCTACCTTTCTTTTTACTATTGAAAATAATCATTTGGCACTTATCCGGGTGTAGTTTTATCTTCCATTGTGAGAACCATTTTTCGATATTGTAGATCTTCTTTTGCATGTATTTGAAGGCTTGTAAATGGCTCATAGATTTCGTGATAATTGCTGTATCGTCGGCATATAAGGCTGTGAATTCGTTTGGATTTTTTAAAATTCTAAGCAAATTCTTCTAAGACTTAATTAAAATTTGTTATTTTAAGAGTAGTAATGAAAAAACAAATATTTTTTTCTAGTTGGTTGAAGCATCTAACATCACTGTCAGGCTTAAAAACTTGCTTTTGAATCATTTCTTCTGTTTTTCTATTTTAATGAAACACATTTCAAAATTGTATTTTTTTTTTTTTTTTTTTTTTTTTTTTTTTNACAAAATTATAAAAATGCTATTAGTCAATAATTTTTAAACTTTTAGTGAGAGAATTCAATATATTTTTTATATAATATACTATTAGGGGAGAAAAAAATATTTTTAAATATTGTAGTTACCCATGAATTTGGGTACATAATACTTGTATATAATAATTTTGCTCATTTTATCAATAGTACACTACTTAAAATATGTTTCCAATACTTTTCTTTTGTTATTCTATATAATTGTTTTTAACCATGACAGGTTTAAGTTTTCTTTTGAATAGTTTCTTCTGTTTTGCTTTTTAAACGAAAATTATTTCAAGGTAGTATTTATAAAAACAAATGATTCACCACCAGTTATTTTAATCTTTTATATCTTATTTGTATTTTTTTTTTCTTTTTTTTTTTTTTTTTNTTTTTTTTTTTTTTTGTATGATTGTATTAGGAAAAAATTTTTAGCTTTTAGTATCAATGTTAACAATTAAGAAGAAAAATTTGAAGTTTTAATTTCGCTATATGGGTTTTTTTTTTATTCTTTTAAATTCATTCTTTAGTAGCTTATAAAATATGAATCTTATGCCTCTTTTAAACACTATTTTAATATTTTTACAATATAAAGATTAAATTCTTATTAAATTTTTTCTGTGACTAGTCCTCAAGTATCTGAAAGTATTCCAATTCTTTGGTTCGAAACTTCTTATTAGTAAATATCAATAGATTGAATAAAGATTTAATTGAATCATAAAAGTTGAATAAAGATTTAGTTGAATTATAAAAGTTGAATAAAGATTCAGTTGAATCATAAAAGTTGAATAAAGATTCAGTTGAATCATAAAAGTTCAATAAAGATTCAGTTGAATCATAAAAGTGTTGTAGGTTGTTCAACTTATATGGACTTAAAATATAATTTACAATAAATTA